GACAAAATTATATTTTTTATGACAATAGACCACATTACTTATTTTAGATTCATAAATATGGTTTCGAGAATACCAGAAAATCAGTTATATACTTTGCCAGGTGATTGGTTCTCGATGTCCTCCTTGCCAGGGGGTAATACACCGAATTGATTATCTCCAAGCCGAAAGCCAACTGGCGGTTGATTTTCGTTGCTCCCATCAACCATCAACTCAATTCGATTGCGTCGGTGTCGGCGCTGATGAAACCGCAACTCACTCCCCGTTTCACCAGAGCATCGTTCCCTCGAAGGCCTTGCTCTACTGACCTGATTGCCTCCATCTCCAGCATGACTAATACCGTCGATGCCTGCAGAAACATTACCACTGCTAAGGGGCGGAATGCCAGCTCCCGGGCCACCCGCAGCATCCACAGTCCTCCTCGAGGAACGCTGCCTTCGACTTACTCGGCAGTCAGGATTATGACTCTCAGGATTATTAGATATGGGAAGTAGGACATTATTCGGTGGCGGAGGTGAGTCATGTGTGGGTCGAATAGAAAGGTGAGGAGAGTTGATATGAGGAAAGACGCCAGGATAGGTGGCTATAAAGCTGGCGGTAGCTGAAATGCTAATGGGACTATTGGTGGTTTGGAAAGGTTTAGTGACCGAGTCGTCAAGTGTAGAGGTTATATTTGTCGGTAGCGTGTTTTGAGGTGGGAGAAATGAGGAGGCAGGAGTCGAAGTAGAGGGAATCGAGGGACTCGAGAAAGCCAAGCAGTCAGAAGTCGGTCTTGCAATGTCGTTAATTGGTAGCAGACTGGTGGAGAGGGCACCATCTGTCTTGCTGGGCAAGTCTGTAGGAGCATGAAGCAGGATGAGATGAGGCTTAGAGCAAAACCAATGGTCAGCAAGAGGGTTAAAATCGCGGAGGGAGGCCATAAAAAGGGGATATGAAGACTCTGCACAAAATAAATGAGTGCGGGTGTTGAGATAAAAGAAAAAAACGGATGGATATAAACTAAAGTTATAGAAAACTTTCAAATCTATTAGTTCTTAAGCAAGATTTTTGAAAAGATGGTTAAATATCGAGTTGGTCAAAACACAATCGGAAATTTCACTTCGTATGGAGAAATTAATACTAAAGCATATATTAAAATAACAGTCTATGAATTTTTTAGATGAACCTTAAAAGGAAGGTGCGGCTACATGTTGGAGAAAAATAGTCGATTTTTTCAGTTCCTCTGTGGCAAAAAAACTAACTTATGCATTAATGTGAAGGCGGTTCCCTTTGAATGGAAATAATTTACAGATATTTGTAGATACGAAGACCAAGATGGTCTAGCCTTCTATGTAGTCACAGTCTCCAATCAGACATCAGTACAGATTATTGACCTGGCAAGATATATTATAAGCTAAGATATGAGCATGACGTATTAAGCCATATCACAAATATCACCAATCCAATAGATAAAATGTACTTGCATCGCTGGGTAGCTTCAGCTGGGAAAATATCCCCCAATAGTTGGCCTGATAGCAACTATTCGTATAATTTTCATAAAAGAGAAATAATATGACATTTAAAGTAAAGAGAGCCAGGAATAAAAGGCCAAATGATTGACCATTGTCATAAGCCATGCAGGCAGAAGTAGAATATTGTTGGAGATACTTTCATTTCGTATGAAAGTGCCTGAAGAAGAGATTCGAAGGTCGATCTCACCAGAAGAGGACGCCTGAATCTCGTTGTACTGCAGTCCTTTGGCTTTTATACGACATTCGATTTGACAAAGTCAACGAGATCTCCTTCCTCATTTCGGGTCAAAATGGGATGAGCTTTCGTTTATCATATAATCGACATCGTCAGAGCTAGAACTCATTCGCGTAAATGTAGCAAGTTAACATTAGGGCAAGAAGACTATCCGGCTCTATCCTACATCTTATATAGACACAAATAAGCAAAAGAAGATTAAAAAGCCTAGATATATATAGAATAGTTTGGCTAATTATCTTTCATATTATATATGAAACTCTACTTACATACGAAAAAGACTTATCTTTTGTATTGGACCTGCCACTTTTGTTCGAGTGTCGGTGTGTCTATGTGTGTGCGTTGACGCAATACTGGTCCTAAATCAATGATCAAAAAGGCTAATGCCAAGCTCTGGTCATTAAGGCTCAATGATCCAGGAAAAAGCCCTGACTGAGACTTCGTATGTTTGTAAGAAAGTATAGTTAAGATAATGAGATTTAAGCTTGTGAGTGTTTAGGTGAAGTTACGAAACAACCTGTCCCAAAATATAAGTCGTGTTCACCCTATTTCGTTTAAGGTGATGAAGGACTGGTAGTTGGTTTTCCCACAATGATAAGAGTAGAGCAAAGCCATGTGAAATTAATTGGAAAACATCGGCTATACTCATATCATTGAGGGAAAATCAACTACCAGTCCTTCATCATCATAATCGAAATAGGATGAACACAACTCATATATGTGATTTTCTGGTAGTCTCGAAAACCTACTCATTTACGCTAAAATGTGTTATAACCTCAGTCTATGGTCATTAATGTTTAACAATCCAATGAAAGGCATGACTGGTCCTGAGTAATCTCGAACGTCTGGTTTGGTTGATGAGCTCAATCTTGCATATTAGATGAATGTGAGTGAAGTTGGAACCATCGCTGAGCAGACAAGTTGGGTCGCCTACATTTGGATGGCGGCTCAACCGTCTCTCTCTTTCAATCTATCAATCAAGAATAAGTAGTTCTTACTCAGCTTTATACCAGCGCTCCTCACATTCAATGTGCTCCATAATCTATTAATTTAAATAGCCTCTCTTATCTTCCTTGTAAGAGCAGATGTACCATACTCAGCAAACCTACTAGTTTCAGACAATTATATTTCATGAGATGTATTCACCCTATTTTGTCTAAGGTGATGAAGGACTGGTAGTAGAATTTTTCCACAATGATATGAGTTGAGCTGACGTTTCCATTGAATTTCACATAGCCTTGCTTTTTTATCATCCAGGGTGAACTGCAGTTTCGACCTCGCATCGGTCTTATCAACACCCTCAGCGGGAGTCGAACCGCGACCGATGCGAGGTCAAAACTGCAGTCCACCCTGGAAGAGAACAACTTTTGGGAAAGCAAGGCTAAGTGAAATTCATTGGAAACGTCAACTCAACTCATATCATTGTGGGAAAATTCTACTAACAGTCCTTCATCACCTTAGACGAAATAGGGTGAATACATCTCATATTACTGATTTACTGGTAGTCTCGAAACTTTACTTTAATTATACTTCATGTCCAATCCCTGCCATGTGTTCGGCCCCATCTGATCGTTGGACCTAGCTTGTTTTATGAGCATTTGTATGCTCCCCCAATCTTTGTAGAATAGGCCGGCATTTGTGTAAAGAGTTGGAACGGCTGACAAATTTAACCCTAGAACATAACTATCCTTTGGGCCAAATTGAGAATAATATCTCTTTACTGAAAAATAAATTTTCAGACGGAGACTACTTAGTCAAAGATAGGTCTTGTCTCGTGTCCCAATTTTGTCGTCATGCCTTTGTTCTAAGAAGATAGGCGAATTACTGAAAAAATGGGGGATAAAAACAATGTCTTAAGAAATTCTTAAACTTTATTCTCTCATGCCATCTTTTAGAAAGAAATATGACCTATCATCGAGATCCGGCTTTTAAAAGATTGTTAGGGGGACTTTCATTTCGTATGAAAGTCCCCATAACAATGTTATCTCAGGAGATTAATTGAAACACAGTAGCTTTTCGTATGCTACAAGATTGCGTGCACCTGTGGTCGATCTGATGTTGGTGAGACAAGCCAGCCTATTGGACAAAGATTGGAGGAACATAAAAATGCTTGTAAAGGAAGCTGGGTCTAATGATCAGAAGTGACCGAACACATGGCAGAGTTGGATATGAGAGAAAATAGTCTCAAGCTAGTAGCTTTGCTGATTATGGTACGTCTGCTGTTAAAAGGAAGATAAGAAAGGCTATTGAAAAACACACACTTTCGTCAAACATGTTAGATTAAGCTCATCAAACAAACCAGAGGTAAGAGATTAAACAGCCCCAGTCATGCATTTCCTTGGATGGTTAAACATTTATGACACTAGAATGAGAGGTTAGGACAGGTTGTTTCGTAACTTGACTTACAACATCAATAGACGTCAACACACAAATGCACACATACAGACACTCTAACAAAAGTCGCAGGACCAACACGAAAGATAATTAGTCGAACCATTCTAGATTTATCCATGCCTTTTAATTTTCTTTTGCTTAAATGAGCCTATATAAGAGGTAAGATAGAGCCAGGGAGTCTTCTTGACCTAGAGTCAACGTGAGACTTTTACAAGAATGAATTCCAGCTCTGATGATGTCCATTATGTGATTAACGAAAGCTCACCCGTTTTAACCCGAAACAAGGTAGAAGGTCTCGTTGATTTCGTCAAATTGAACGTCATATAAAAGCCAAACAGCTGCAGTACAACGCGATTCAGCCGTCCTCATCTGGTGAGATCGTCCTTCGAATCTCATCTTCATGCATTCTTATACAAAATAAAAATCTCCTCAAAAATGTTATATCAAGAGATTCATCGAAACCCAGTTACTCTTCATATTATAAATAGGATAGCCAAAAAATAGGGGCCAACTGACGCTGAAAGCCGATAGCAGCATGGGTGGAATAGATGGCTATTCAACATTTGCCACCAAAAAAGGCATGACTTTGCTAAACCGAACATACAAAATAATTAAGGCGCACATGAAACAATCAGAGCCGAAGCAAAAATTATAAAGACATGTTTTGGATGGACCAAGACAGATGTATCAACGGAGTTGGACCATAAAAAATCGGAGGCAAATGAGAAATATGATGCTTGCGTCAGTTATTAAGGAAGTTATGGAGGGATAAAAAGTGACGCGACAAAGCTAAATATAGAAGTTCGATTATGAATATATAGGGCAACATGACAATCATTGTTCAAGGCACTAATGGAATGAGAAATATTATGAAAGGCGCAAAAAGTTAATGAGGATATAAAATAATCTTTTGAGTAAGGGTAATTAAAATAGTAATCCAATATTTTGAACACTACCTGGAAGATATGATGGCATATTGTGTCGACCCGCTCCAGCATCCATTTCATTTAACCACCAATCACAATGTTGAGCTATTCGACCAGCAGAGGCTACCGTCCCGGATTCAGCCATAATCATAGGGAAACTAGGCTCCTGATAGGCTCGGCGACACTGCGGAGTTAGCACCTTGTGTCGAGATCGCGAGCGGAGGCGTGGCTGCGACTGTGTCCATGAGGGTTGATGTCGATAGTTATGTTGCTGCTGTGAATGCATATACTTCGGTGGAGATTGTGCAGCTAGGATGAGGCGTTGATAGAAAAGTTGAGCTCCAATCATCGTGGACAGTGAGAGTGTGGAGGAAGATAGTCCAGTTTGGAGATACGGTGTGACGAAAATAGTGGATTGCCTGGAAGTCTGATGTAATTTCTGTAAAGTGAGCCTAGCGTCCAAGAAACTAGCAAACATCTGAGTTTCAAGGAAAGCACTGAGGAAGGCAAGATGGGCCTCCGGCTGGTCCGAGAGAAATCCCATCTTGTCAAACGCCTCTAGGCCAGAAGAAATTTGCTCTGTCTCTCCTCCCGAAGTTAAAGCTTCTACAGCAAGGGGTCGCTTATATGCCACGGGTCTGGAAGTCGCAGGAGATGAGGTAGTGGAGCAACGATCGACTGTAGCCTGACCTGATCGGACTGGTCCATTTATCCCAAATCTCATATTGGAAACACAAGGATCCTGCTGATGAGGAGGTGAGGAAGATATTGAGGCTGGAAGGGATGGAGACTTGGAGGAAGAAGAGGTAGAAGCCGAAGAATAAGAAGACCGAGAAGAGATGGTTGAGGAAGGCGTAGAACGAGATGCGGACGATGGAGGTGGAGACGAAGAAGAGAATGAATAAGAAGGGGATAGAGATTGAGAGGCAGTGTTGGAAGTCCGCCGATGGCCGCCGTTATTATGCCGAAGGCGTGAGCCACTCGTGTGCCTTGGAGTTGTGCTCTCGGAAATTGCAGTTATGTTTACTCGGTCGCTTACGGAGGCTGTGGTCGCAGGACCTAGGCCAGAGTCAACACTAGCTGGCGTTGAGCTAGGTGGACGAAGGATCAGAAAGCTCTCGTAGCTACGAAAAAGTGTGATGAAGTGGTTCAGAAATACTTCGCGAATAGCGAGATTGTACCGAAGGAGGCGATCATAAGCAGCATATTCCTGGGGAAGGAAAGAAAGAGGGAGCAGAGTAAAATGATGACTTGGAATCAATCCACGACTCCGTGTTAAATTTCAGGTTCCGCATGACTTATTATGTTTAAAATTTATATTAGGCAAATGCATATATCCTCTTGGACTCAAGGGGAGATACCACAACTGTCTAGCACACGTTCGGTCAAAGAATGGGCTTCACTTGTCTCTTTGACGAGTTGTAATATGGTGCTACGAATGGTGAGACTCACTGACGCTGCCGATTACGATGCCGGCGAAACGTCTGGGAATGTACCACGTCCACGGTCCGACTTTGGAAATGATCATGCATACA